ATATATATATATATATATACATATATATACCATTCCATCATACCAGCCTTACAACCTAATTTCTTGACCCAACAGTGCACACCTATCGATCAAAACAACCACTTCCTGAACAATTTTGCGGCATCGACCGTATATCGTTAGAAGTGGCGTGGAAGAGGTATTCAGACGGGCTGCAGTTATGTGCTCCTTACAAGGGAAGCATACTTGGTCGGGAACCCTGTAGACGCCCAACATTGAGCCCTAAAACGTATTGCAAGCGTTTAGGACGCATTTTATGGAAAAGCAAAACGAGCCCATGCATTAAGGAGCCGAACCTTGATGTCATGCCTATCAGTCCACCACACTATCCCCCAGGCCACCGTTGCACAGGTAAGGGCTTTGCTCGGCTCGGTGATCCGTTCAGCGCAGTGGTATAACACAGAGGAGGCATCGGTCCTGTAACTTTGTTCCCAGAATCGTTTCGCATATTTGGAATACAGATTTGAGATCAGCGTTCGAAACCACCTACGGGGGTATACATCTCATCTTGAATGGCCACTGCGACCAAGTATCCTTCCCTTGTTAGTGGCTGTAAAGAGCCAACATGCCAAAAATTGCATTTCACTGCCGCGTCACAGCTACTTTTTGAATTTTCCACATGTGTGCTCCATGTGAATCGTGCAACTTCAACAAGTTCGTAAAATCATGGCTACTTTTTGGGGCCACATTCGGGTGTGTACGTCGACCAAACCGGTTTTCGAGCCATTACTACGTCCTGTCTAGATCGTTTTTCGACCCGACAGTACCCCATGCTATCCTCGCTGGCCACAGGGTCATCCTTGGAGAATACCTCAAAGAACATCCATTGTGATCTGCACCTTCGATGGCATAAGGGTGAAAAGCTTAATATTTAAGATCCCATTAAGACATGAAACATGAGGTGATTGAACAACTAATTAAATATGTATCGTATAATACAATATGCCGTATACTTATCCCATGTAAATCGAATAAATAAATCCGAATAAATAAAAAAAAAGAACTACTAGTTTACTCAATACGATCACTACTGAAATAAGAAAAAAGTGAAACATTGCGAAACCTTCAGCGCACCTTAACCTGAATCAGTCGCATTCGTCCAAGATCTCGGCTCATACGTAAAACCAAATATTCGCCGATACGTTCGAGTTTCTCCGGATGAGAAATCGCGTAGAAGATGAGTTTTTGCATATTTGACGATATGAGCCCATCCGTAATCGCGCGTGGATAGATTGAATCCACCAGACGACGATATCTACAACGAAGAAGCATTGGATCTGTACCAAATTCGCACGCATTCATATGAATTCGCACTCGACGCAATCGATTTCTCTGACCACTTTATCAAGTAAGTTTAATAGATTTGATCATTTCCTCAGTATCACTGCTTAAAAAAAATTCAGATTATTTATACATACTGCTTATCAGGGGTTTCCTACATATCGCTGAATAGAGATGATTAGAGGTATGGAACATTTGAGAGAGAGGGCTCTTCACTAAGTGTGTACACTACCATGCAACGAACGCGGTCATTGAAAATCTAATTTTTGGGACAGTTCGGGACCTCAACAGCTTCTGCTTATAAAATAGCTTGGAACTAGACAGAGATATGATGAAGGCGATAGCTCCTCGAATAACCACTTTTTCAAAGTTCGCGAACAATTAAAAGTTTTGCACTTTTGAGTGCATAACGGACTAGACGACGTTGAGCCTTCCATTTCTCTGGGTTTTCCATTTTGCGAAATTCGCACATCCGTGCTTTTAATTTGTCTTGACAAGAACTATTTCCAAATCCTAGAGAACTCAAGTTTCTTGAGAAAACGCACAGCTTTAACTTTAAAACTTTAACATTGACTTCTATATATCGGGAAGCAACCCGAAATATTAAAGTTATGTTTAGAAATCAACCTTTTCCATTCGTAAAATGTACCGGTCATTGTGATAGCCAATTCCTAAAAAATGGAGCCAGAAGCTGCAGATGGCAGAACTCCCTTTTAACCGTGGCAATGGCCTCTTATCGAAGCGAATTCCAGGAAAAAGGTCGCAAAACACAGACTTCGATAAAAGGCCATTGCCACGGTTACCGCGTTTCCATCATGATAAACTGGTGCCGTCGCGAGAACTGACCCCTATAGAATGTGACATTTCAGGATGGGTCGAAATTTAAATCTTCCAGCTTCCATTTTCTTGAGATCATTTTCTCTACGAGATGCTCAACGTAATTCAAAAAATATACCTAAACAAACATGAAAACAATTCAAACCTATTATGAACTAGATTTATGTTAAATTTGATATATGTTAAAAACGCACTGTTGTTCAATCTCCGTTCATCTCATTTGTTGAAATGAGGTAATTTATGGCCAAAGGCTCTTTTACTTAGGATCCCTGGATTTGAAAGTAACTCTCGCGAAGGCAAATTCAAATCCACTTCGCGTTTGTGAGTCGTAGTGCATATTTCCATGGTCAGAAAATGCATATACAGTAGCGCTCAAAAGTCTTCGGTAAAGAAGAATAATATGCAGTAGCGCTCAAAAGTCTTCGGTGAAATGCTTCTGACGCTTTTCGCATAACTTTTTTCTTAGTAGACCAAATCGCGCGAAATTTGGATATGTTTAACCAGAGCATGTTTCACCCCACCCAACACTACAGTGCGCGTCAATTGCATATGCCATCCCCTATTCTTTCTTTTATCTGAGTTTTTAGGCAACACTGCGAGCTGAAATGTTGACCAACACTTACTGAGTGAACAAGAGTTTCAACAAAGCCTGAACATATTTGAACGCTGCGGTAGCGCCCTTTTTTGGCGAGAAGGTGAAAATTAG